AGCCTTTACTCAACCAAGAGCCCCAAGGCAGGGGGTGTTTTAATTCGGAGTTAACTTCTCCTAGCCTTTGCCTAAAAAAGCGTATCCTACAAGGCAGCAGGACATTATAATTATATTAAGATTACAAAAGTAAAAAAAAAAAAAAAAAAAGAAAATCATTTAAAACTGAAATTTTTATTATTTGTTACTATAAATAGTAAAATTCATACTTTGCTTTATTTTAAAGTGTCTAATGTAAAGTCAAATAATAGACATCAACAGCGCTTGACACTGAATTCTGCCAAGTAAGTTTTTGGTTCATCAAGCAAAATTTCTTATATTTCAACGACAATTAATTTTATCATGCCTAGATCTATTTCTTTCATATGACAACAATTTCAAGTCACCTATAACCATTTACACTAATAACTTCTTCGAGCCTAATATTATAAATCTGTTATCATTAAATATATATTACCAGTGGTTATGCTACTGTTACAACTGAATAAATGAACGTTTTATATTTTTACAACTGAAAAATATAAAACAAAATTTATTTACATTATTTTAATTTAGCAAAGAATTTAGAACACAGTGAAAAGTTATTTGCATTGTGTTCTAAATTCTTTGCTAAATTAAGAAAGCCTTCAGGCACAATCTTAATGCACAAAAATAATAAATGCAGAATCTTGTATAAAAAATGAAGCAATGTCAGTCTAAAGTAATATATATGTATGTATATATATTCAAATTTTTTCTATTCTTAATTTTTTCTTTGAGATAATATTCATATAGATTCAGAGAAATATAAAATATTCCGATATATAGGCACATTTAAGTATATAAACTTACCTGTCAAAAATTACAGTCAGTTTTTCATGTTAAATACATAAAATATATATCTAATATAAAATTAAACAAAAAATTAAACTTACTCAAATCAGTAACAGTTCGACTGTCTATATATTTTTATTATTAACCCTTCTATTTAAAAAATAAAAACAAATGATTTGAAGTAACTAAAAAGCACTTTAGCTCTTTCCAATTGCACTAAAAAATAAAATAAATCTTGCTTGCTAAGTTGCCTAATTCTTAAGAATCTGATAACAAATAAGTAAAAAACCAAGAACAAACAAACATTTATTTACTAAAACTACTCTATTTAAACAAATTAAAGTATACAGAGAACAACATTGATACTCCTTGAAAGCTGAAAATTTATCTCAAATTTGCTTGTAGACCTTGCTTATGAAACCACTTGAATAAGAAAAGCATCAAAAAAGCCTAGAAGCTGGTATATGCTACATTGAATTTTAAATGTTGATTGGTGTAGATATTTTTAAAAAATGCAAAATGATTTGTTCTTCTATAGCAAATAAATACACCATAAATCTGAAGTTAAAAATGTAATGAATAAGTAAATACAAAGAAAAACATCATATGTGAATTAAAAATCAATGTACCTGATAGAGATAAGCTGCGGTGATACCTGAGTAGTATCACCGCATACACGTATTTATCAAAAAAATTTTTACTTTGATCATAATATAAATGCAAACATATATGCAAACTTTTAACAACTATAAAAGAACATTTATTAGCATCAATTATTTTTAATGTAACAAAGAATGCAGACTACAATGCACGACATTGTTAATAAAAATGAAGTTATGTCAGTCAGTATATATTTATCTAAAGTAGTGAAAAAGAATAAACCATTTAAAAACAAAATTAAAAATTTTTAATGAATATATATTTAGATACCTTAAAATGAAGCATAACACAACACTCTTTTGACAAATTCCAGAGCAAATTTTTAAAAATTTTCTATTCCTTATTATTTTATTCCTTATATCGATAAAATACATATTAAATGCCACATTCAACTAATGTAATTAATACCTTATTTAGATCTCTCTTGATTAACTAAAGAATTTAAATTTTAAATAAACTCTAACTAAATTTTAACAAACAAACAACCAAAATAAATCTTCATATTAATAGTAGGTTATTAAGTTGAGTAATAGATCAAACAATTTAATCTACTCTAATAATCTACTACCTTATTAATAAACTTTAATTTTTTTTCTAAGACTCAGTGTAACTATAATATAGATATTTTTAAAGTAAAAAAGAATTTAATATTATAATATATATGATTTAAAAAACCTGAAATTTTAAATCTACCTCGAAGAAAACAGATATATAATAAAAAGTATTTTTATTTCTTTTTAAAAATTTTAAAATGCTTTATAACTTACTTGTTTCATATTATTACCAACGTCTAAATAGAAAAACAAAGATATATGAGTTATATATAGGATTTTAAAATATATATGATTTTAAAAAACTGAAACTTTAAATCTACCTCAAAGAAAACAGAGATATATTGAAAAGTATTTTTATTTCTTTTTAAAAATTTAAAAATGCTTTTTAACTTACTTGCTTCAATATTGTCATCATCTAAATAGAAAAACAAACAAACATTTAAGTCGACTTATTCTTAAATCTAGTTTAATTT